ACTACTACTACTACTACTACTACTACTACTACTACTACTACTACTACTACTACTACTACTACTACTACTACTACTACTACTACTACTACTACTACTACTACTACTACGACGACGACGACGACGACGACGACGACGACTACGACTACGACTACGTCTACTACTACTCCCCCTCCTCCTCTTTTAACATATATAAACTTTATGATGTATAATCATTAAGAAATATTTGAAACTGAATTTTAAATTGATCTATCTTATAATCATTTTAATCTTATTGCCTATTATCTCGTGGAATGAATTATGTTTATATATTAATATGTTAATTAATTATTAATCGAGTTTAAATTTTGGTTCTCACGTAAATACTTTAACAAGTTAATGTATATGATCAAACGTTTATTAATGGTGCATTCACTTAATAAAATACATTAAACGATTCGAAAAAATAACTCATCCCATTAAAACACCTAAAACGTTTTTGATGGTATTAGTTGTCATAAGAATGAAAATGTTAGGTATTTTTGTACGAGCAATTAAAAAATGTGAGAAATCAACTTAATATATGAATAGAATCAGGTATTTGAGGAGAGCATATAGTCAATAGTTAAATCCTATTTTAGAGAGTTAATGTACACTATTTTTACGTTCCTAACTAAAATGAAATAAACGCTTCGTGACTTGATTTTCATTCGATCTCAGTTGATAGCATGAAAACTCCTAATATAGATGATCCCGTAAATTACATGTCATCAAAAGTTGATTACATATACTCACATAGTGAATAAATATGGAATACAGGACAAGTGTTTCGTTCTGTTCAAGTTTGTTTAGTAATATATACCTGAAATGATGTTCACACTGTAATTCGAAAGACAAGTAACCCTCACTTCAGACGCCTAAAGGTTCAGGTTTCAACTCTGTTGATTCTTCACTCAGTAAGTTAGTCAAACGCCTTTAGTGCCCACATCCAACCATAAATCATGACATTTAAATTTTGAAGGGTATGCTTTGTGAAATTTATGTATCCTAACTTTATTCCATTTGACTAAAAATTGTATTATTAGTATGACGGTGAGTTGGGGAGATTGTAGAACGTTCATAGTTTAAATCACTTACTAACCTTAGCTAAGTTACTATTGGAAACCTGGAAGCATTGGATAGCTGTTTCACTTTAGTACGAGACTCCTTAGCAGTGACATATAACAATCCGGACCCGAGACCTTTGGTCTTGAGCTTAAACCCTTGATCTTGAGACCACTAGGCAAACATCCAATAGTGTACATGTCTATTGTGACATTGTACAATTTATTTGCTTATATTTTTCTTGACTACTTAAAAGCTAGCTGCCACTTTATTGATGAATATAGTCATTAGTATTTGTTAGTTAATACTCAACAGACTCTTTTCTGATTGTTTATATTTAAAATCACGTGAAAAGCATAGGAAAACTGTTTGTAATTCGTAAATGTATACTAATGAACATAGTATTCAATTAATAAATAATACTTATGTTCTATTTGATTAAGAACATTTAACGTTTTCAATTTACGATAATTCAAGCATGAATATGTTTTTTCTCCCATTTCCAGTACCTAGTCACTGAACTGCTCACACACATATATGTGCGTACATATTTACCGATTTGTATAAAAACACATGTACAGATACCTATGTTTCTAATTACATTATATTAACAACATGGGTAGATGATTTATGGTTGTGTGAGTAGTTTCACTGACTAGTTTGATTGGGATAGAGCATCACTGTTTACTTCAAATTTAGTTGTTTACTTAAATTGTCTGTTGTTCTGTGTTGAATTGTGTTTTCGAAGATATGACGCTAAGGAGATCACCTCAAACAAATTGAATCAACTATATTCTAACTATCCAAATATTGCTTTCAACCTTCTAGTTTTAAAACGCTGAAAATTCCAAGTTAAAACATTTCACTTTTTGGCATATTCTCATAATTTCCAGCCATTTGAAAATAAAGAGAAATAAATCTGCTGAAATTCATGTGTTCAATATTTGATGGATGAAGTAGAAGCTACGGTCAGGAGATGACGCAAAAGGTATACAATGTATCATTAAAATAAGTGCAATTCGCATCTATGTTAAACAGATAGTTTTGGTTATATTTGATACTCTGGACCGATAAGGCATAAGCCAAATTATAAGTCCACGCTACTAGCCAATATTTAGATTCCTTTTCTAAGAAACACGCCATTGATTAAAAATGTGGCTTTATTCTTTGAAGAAATAAGGATACATATATATGAGCATATGTGGATTTTTTATTCTATCTCAATCAATAAAGCTTCTTTCTCATACAACTAGCTGATTTGGGCCCTAGTTTAGGAAGCTTTTGTATCGGTATCAGACTCGGGTACATAATAAGTGCTCAAACTCCCTTACTATAAAAGAATTATGTTACCGAATAAAGACATGATAATTATTAATATAAATAATTCATTTAAAATCGGGAAATGATAATTATTCAGTGGTTTATCATAAATATGCTTTTCATTGCAATATGAAAGTGATCCGATTGATATTCTTTCAAGTGGGATATTGTCCAAATATTCATAGTTGACCGAACTCGAAAATACAATGAACCAAACTTGAATTTTTCACTGATTTAATAGTCAATCCACTGTTATCAATATAATAAGGTAGAACACATCTATAAATCCCATAGTAAGAGAATTGTAAGTAAAAAATAAATAAAGTGAATATGATAGGGCTGATACATAAGGGTGAGCCTGAACTACTGTTTGACAAATTATTCCACTTATTCAGTCAATCAGGAGACTGCACATATAAGTGATTTAATCACAATTGATTGATCACTGAGTGGTGATTAATGTCATGCTTGTCTAGTCCTTATTAGTGCAGATCGAATGCTGTCGATCATGTTGCAATGTGGCCACCAGTCTAGGTGACTCGACACTGCGGGTAGCATTCGATCTGCATTAATAAGGACTAGACAAGCATGACATTGATCACTACCCAGTGATCAATCAATTGTGATTATATCTCAGTCCTACAGGAGGTTAGTCACGGCTCGGATAGCTCAGAAGTAACGTCTCTGACTGTGAAGCTGGGTGACACGAGATCGAATCCGCCAGGGAGCACCAGTTCCCTCAAGATTACAGGTACACCTTGGTGACGAGTGTCAAGTAGCACGAAACCCGGGTCCAGGGTTTCCTGTTGACTACCTCCAACTACCATCTAAATCTCAATAAGTGATTTAAAATGATCAGGTCACAATCAACGGAACAATGAGTGTATTTTTGGTACAGTTAAACAAACAAGTACGGTAAAACAATCCCCGGTACAATTGGTCATAATAGTAATTGCTTCCATTACACCAATCGCGTTCTGTTGATAAAAGTAGGTCACTACAGACTAGAACTCACAGTCTGGGTCTTCCAGTTGTCATTCCGGACTAAGCTTTATTATTAGTTTATATGTATCCTAATCCTAAACTTTATATTCTAATGACAACTCTAATCCTAATTTAAAAGCCGAAAGTCTGTTCTTCACCTTAATTTTGAGTAAAAAACGATGTTTCCGTTAATAAAATTAATAATCTATGGTATTTGTAGATATCAATGGCAAGGTTGAACTTGGTAGTTTCAAACAAATCAAGCAGTGAGTAGAAGGTTAATAATAAATATATTTTTTATATCCCAATGAGTAAAAAAATATATTTCTGACGTTTCGTGACTTAATGTATCCCACTTCTTCAGAATAAATAAATGACCGACATTAAATTAACACACGTCTAAATAGTCCAAAGGAAACAATTCAGAATATTTTTAGTACAAAATCATAATAGGTTTGAATATGTCAATGTCAAGTAATTTGTGGTCAAGGTGAATTTGTATGGTATGTCACTGTATTAATTTGTGTCAGAATGTGGGTATGAAGAATGTGTGTATTTGTAAAATGATGTAGTGGATTGTTGTCTCGATGAGAATAATGAATGGTAACTGTTGGGATACATTTCTGAACTAGTACTATACATATATTTCTATTGTATAATTGTTAAGTAACTAAACTATTCATATTTATTCACTTGGTGTTGTTTTACTTGTATCTTCCTACTGTTATTTAGAACTGCAATCAATCAGTCTCATGTTGGTATATGTGCGGATTGCCTCGATATAGCCTCAAGTTATATTTGTGTTTCTCTTGTTATAAGCTTTATTTTGACCTATAGACTATTATTATACGGTTTATCGTTCTTGAGTTATGCATAGTCTATCAATTACTATCTCCCACATTCACAGTAACTTTAGGCTAAATCTTGTACAAATGTTATTTTCTATTTTATAATATGATGTGGTCTGTCTAGTTGGCATGTAAACCGAATGTTTGAAATACATGATTCACATCACAGAGGCTGAGATCAGTGTTCTGGATTTAAAAGAGAGGGTTAGGCAGGAACAAGGATTCAGAGCTAGTAAATCTATTGGGTCCGTAATGTATTGTACCACCGGGTTAAGAATTGTTTCAGGATTAATAGTTACGATTTGGAAATATTACTTACTCGTCTGTTATATACAGTCTACAAAATAGAATTAGAGTATTTAATACGTCTAACACTATTCTTTACAAGTTATGACGACAAAAAGCCATTTTCCAATACCATTTCAAACGATTTCAGTGCTATACAAAGGTATTTCTACTGCCTGCTATACATATTTAGATTTTGAGCACAAATATAAGTCGATTCTGGTTGGCTCGTCTCTATACTAAGTTTTTACCATCCATCATCTATATTCGACCGATAAGCTTATTTTGTGATAAACGCGCTGTGATTACTCAGAAGCAACTTGACCAAATCGAGTTGACTTATTTGCTTTGATTTCTCGCTTTTCACTCTAAATGTCTGTTCGGATCAACGAGTTTACGAAATAAACGTATTCAAACTTCATCCTCGTATTTGACTTAGTTTATTTCATTATTCTCTAACGTGAATTCAGTCGATAATTATGTACGAAGATAGCTAGGATGTATATTTTGGTAACATCATCATACGATCTAATTGGAGCCAAATCAAACTGCCATAAAAGTCTCATTATGAAATACAATGTTTTAATAACAAGAATAAGGGGTATGAGAAAGGAAAGTAGAACTAAAAAAGAAAACAATCCTCGTCCGACCAACCGTTACTATATCGACTGATTATCAAGTCAACTTTGAAATGATAACAAAATTCAGCAAAAGCAGCATTGACCAAGAGGGTGAGTGTATACAAGAAGTTAAAAATGGGAAAATCAATAAAGAAATAAGGAAATACCACATAATTTCCACTGAAAAAGAAAACAAATTGCAAGCGACAAACAAAAACAACGGAATAGGTTATTGTGATGTTATGAAATAATGTATATGCAAATAATAAGTGTACAACGAGAAAATGGTACTAGACCTTAGAAACCCGGTTGAATACAAACGTAATAATAACAAATACTAGTTTGTAGACAGAAAGGAATCAGTTAAATCACAGATAATTCAGTTTCAATGGGAATTATATAGTTTGCCAGTACTTGAAGCCTAGAATCATATTATCTTGATGAAGAGAACGACAGACAACCATTTACCAGCCAACACAAACAACTGAATATCGACTTGAGTGTCACTCAAGTGTCTGTCAATTATCAACCAATCAAACAGAGTCAGTTATCCAAAAGTCAGTGGATTTTTTAAAGACAAACAACTGTTATTTATGCAGTAGTGGTAGTAGCAGGAATTTCAAGTGATTCCATTTGAGTTTTTACATGAGAACTGTCAGCACTGCTGCTGTAATTACAGATATTACGCAATCCGGAAGCGCATAGATTACAAAACTGTACAGATCTTTGTTCATTTGACCATAAACTTGGAATTTTTGGTGGGTTTGAGTGAATACACCGAGAGCATGTAAGCAGACCACACGAATGACAATGAACCTGTTTGTTTTTCCGGAAGATTAATAAAAACACAATTAAAGACCAATATATAACATTGAGCATGAATTTCACTGTAGAAAAACTCAGTGACAAAATTAAATAGTACCATCTTTACGGCACGCTTCTTGACGATGTGCAAACACTGACCTTAAACAAGACGGTTCCCCACAGGATTTTTACAAACACTGTGGTAAACACGATATCAAAAAGTCACTGTTTTGAAAACCCACGGTCGGGGAACATTATGGACATTTGGATTTGAACTAGAAAGAAACTGCTGCTATCAAAAGCTTACTTAGCTTTACATGAATCTACAACTTCTGAATTAACAGAATTATCTCCATTTACACAGAACATGAAAGAAAATAGTGATATCAAAACATGTTCATACGGTGTGGTGTCCTCCATACTCAATGGGTTAATTATAGAGTTTTGATTACATTTTTAGACAAGGTCATCAATACATACTTCGAAAGGAAGTGAGTTATTAAAATTTCTCTACAATTGACTAACAGCTTGTTCTGCGGACTTGACAGGTTGCATCTTGTTTGAGCGGTTATTTTTTGTGTTGTCCGATTCTGATACTGACATACAAGCTTCTTATACAGTAGCCCAAACCAGCTAGTTGAATGAGAAGGAAGCTTTGATGACCAAAACTAAATCAAGAATGTGTATCTACTTAATGATGAATACATATCTCTATCCCTTACAACATGAGGTCAAGTTTTCGACAAACCACATGTGATTTTTTTACTTGGAGAGGGAAGCCAAGTCCTGTTCAATAACGTGAGGTTGTTATTTGACCTGTATCTGATTCCCTAAGGATGTCACATTTTATTCGTAAATATTCAGAAAAATATGTATAAATCGTTTTTAAACAGTAATTTATCGCTCAATATCTAGGATCAGTCTTTTTTCAGTGCAATTCTCTTCATCCCTGAATATATCTGCTGCATTAATTCTATGGTAATTGCTTTTCGTTGCTCCAAAAGATAGAGGAGTAAGAAGAAAATTATAGGGATCAGCTTGATGGTACATCTTGATAAGATTTCTTGTAAAAAGATCGTATGAAAGCGCGTAAATACGGTTGATAGACAATAATTCATTTAAACAAGTCTAAAACACGAAAATCTCCGACATATAAATAAACAATCGGAAATATGGTGGTGAATACGTTTGAACAGCCCATCGTGTCATAACCATGCCTACTTAGTAGCTTGTATTACATACTTACCGATTGATTTGACAAAGCTAACAAACTATTACATACACAGCATAAACTTCCTGATTTAAAGCAATGTGTCCAGTTCACGTTGATTATACTCATCTCACATTTCAACTGTCCAATGGTGGGTTGAGATAAACGCTTTTGATCACCTAAAAAATTGTTATTCGAAAAGAAAAAGAATTAGAAAAACTCAATTTAGTATCATGTTACAATTGGACGGATATCATAAAGGTTGGCAATTTTCGGAACTATTTCTCAGATAATTGTCAGTTATATTTTATCTTTAACTGGTATTATTGTATTTCTATGATTCCTCCATAATAGACTTACTAAGCATTGTTATGCGCTTTGCTGATCCCTAATTGTTACTGTCCAATTACGTCCTGTTTGCTTTTTCGTAGCTCAGTCTCTGACTCCGGGTTGATCGTACGAAAATGTTATGAACATAAATTTTCTATTCGACTCCGTATATTACCTAGGCTAATTCAGTCTGTGTAACGGCGGTAATAAGAAGCCAAATACGTGTGTCGTTGGATGAATTGATTTCAAGCACTCGTTTATACAGACAGACATTCAGAATGAAGAATCAGGAAACCGAGGGAGCTAACTCCAGTCGGTCAAGCGTGACTCAGTGTTTATAGTCAGACAAAAATAAGTTAAATATAGTCAAGGCTAATAAGCGAATAATTAACAAGGTCAAAGTGTGACCTGAAAAGAATTAGTAAGTAGATCTGTACGGGAGCTAGAATAACCCATGTGGGCCTGACATGGTACTAGACACTACGGCTTTGCTCCTGCCATGATTGTGTTTTTAATGACCCTGCATGTGATTCCAATTAGATCGTATGCTGATTGTCATCGAAATGTACATGCCTCCTGTAACCGCCTCTTTCTTGCAAATACTAACTTTAGGCATAAGGAAAAACATATTTTAACATGGAGACCTCCTAATTCGTCCCAACGCTGGACCCAAATAGATCACATCGCTATCAGCCACCGATGAAGGGGCTCGATAGAAGACTGTCGCTCATTCTGGAGCAAATGATTAGATTCAGATCATGCTCTAGTACGAGCGCGTATCTGCCTGCATCTTACTGGACGTAGGAAAGACGCTGCAAGAAAACCTCTTAGGGGCCTACTTAATGATGGTCAAGCTAAGAGTATATTTTAGGAACAACTAGAAAAACATTTAGGCAGTCATGTATGTGATGCCCACCCCGAGGCAGCATGGAATGATATCCAAAAAGCTGTGGAAACAGCAGTGATATCTGTTAGTAAGGTAAACCACAAGGTTAGGGAGAAACACTGGAAACTCATTCCACCTGGCTCTGAGCATAATGAAGAGCGGAGTCAGATTAAGCGCAAGCTGACAAGAAGTCTACGCAACGATCGTGAACAGTGGTGGGTAGCGAAAGCAAGAGAGATGGAAAAGGCAGCGGCAATAGGTAATAACAGACAATTGTTCAGACTTGTTAAGGAAACCGACTGTTAGCGAAACACTCTCAGAGAAAGATGGACATATTATACACTATCAATCCAGGAGATTGGATCGATAGGCAGAACACTTCAGGGATCAGTTCAACTGGTCTTCAGCCACACTTCGGTTTCCCACGATCTCCAATCAACCTAAATGGCAAGTTAATGTAGGTCCTCCGTCTCTTTACGAAGTTGAAAAAGCCATAGGAAATCTGAAACGAGGGAGAGCAGCAGGCCCTGGCAGGTTTACTCCTGAGATTTTTAAGGATGGTGGTTCAGTATTAGCAGTGAGATTAACTGAGGTCTTAGGTAGAATTTGGGAAATGGACGTAATCCCATCTGACTAGTCTCAATCACTGATTGTGCCAGTCTATAAGAAAGGACAAAAGTCCTCTTGTGACAATCACAGAGGAATCAGGTTGACTAATATAGTGTCTAAAATATTAGCCTCAATAATACTTCGACGCCTAATAAAAGCTCGTGAAGAGCAGACTAGAGAAAATCAGGCTGGTTTTCGACCTGGATGTGGTTATATAGATCAGATATTCACACTACGTCAAGTTCTAGAACACAGACACACGTTCAGACGCCCCAAAATGGTAGTATTTCTTGACCTTAAGGCGGTATTCGACTCTGTTGATCGTAAGGTTCTATGGCAGTGTTTGTCACTGAAAGGAGTACCAAAAAAGTACATTAACCTTATAAATGCTCTCTACTCGAACACAACTGGTCGAGTGAGAGCTTATGGTGAATTGTCATCAGAGTTGATTACCTCAAGTGGTGTTTGTCAAAGCTGTCCACTCTCTCCATTCTTGTTCAACTTTGTCATTGACGTACTTTTAGAGATAACACTTTCCTTATCAAAATTTACAGGGGTTGAACTTCTACCGGGAGGTTCACTTGTTAACTTAAAATAGGCTGATGACATAGTTTTTATGTGGCGAAGACGCTGACAAAATGCAGTCTTCTGACCACTCTAAGCAACAAGGCAATCATGTTCGGGATGAGATTCTCCCCCTCGAAATACAAAATGTTGCTTTAGGATTGGGATGCATCGACACCAGAACTAATGATAGGGAGTGAAGTAATTGAGCGTGTCGATCACTTCACTCATCTTGGAAGTCTCATCAGCCCTTGTGGTCTGGTGTGTGACGAAATCTCAGCACGGATACAGAGGGCTCGAGTAGCTTTTACCAATTTGCGTCGTTTATGGCGTCGGCGAGATATCCGTCTATCAACCAAAGGACGTGTTTACTGCGCAGCAGTTCATTCCGTCCTATTTTATGGCAGTGAAACATGGCCGGTAAGAGTAGACGATATCCGTAGGTTACTAGTATTTGATCATAGGTGCCTTCGAAATATTGCTCGTATGTGCTGGGACCATCGAGTAAGTAATGCAGTTGTTAGGAAACGGGTACTAGGTAAGGATGGTAAATCAATTGATGACGTGGTGAAACTTCATCAGTTGAGATGGCTGGGACACATGTTACGTATGTCCAACGACCGACTGCCTCGACGTGCGATGTTCAGTGGTATAGGAGTAGGTTGGAAGAAAGCTAGGGGCGGCCAGACCAAAACATGGCACAAGTCCATGAAGTCACTGACAAGTAGACTGAGTCTGGTAGGTGTAGACTACCTGGTTGAGATCTGCGAGATGATAGCAACCGATGGTTAGAGACCCTGAATGACATGGCTCGAAATCGTTTGCAATGGCGCAGGTGCATCCACTCTTAGTGTTATCCCAAATTTTGATCTCCTTATTACTCTTTGTCTCTTTTTCTTCTCTTTCCAAATTTATTTCACTGTATTATACTCTTTAAGTAACATCTCCAAACACTAATCTTCCCGATTACTGCTTATACTCTTATTACCTCTACCACTACGGGATTTGAATTGACCACTGCATCTCTGTGCTAATGTGGTGTGGCAACTCGAACTGATGTACGTACGTAAGTACGAAGTTCTACGTTGATACTGACTGACTGAAATGCCTCCTGTTGTAACTATTAAGCACGGTTTAATATCACGTGATTTATTCACCAATCGGAATACGACTTATACAATCTTAGCGGTGTGCCAAACCAATGATGTGTTGTTCTTACTGATCCTTTGTCCTTCTAGTCCTCCCAGTTGAGTCCCGAACACCGATACCAGCTTAAGCTATGCGAATCCTTTATTTGAAACCTACCTGGTTTATATATAAGCCAAACGGACCATGTCACAAAATAAAATAGGAAATAACATTTGTACATGTTCTAGGCAAAAGTGGCTGTGATGGTGGTAGACGGTAATTAATAAACTGAGCATAACTTGGGAATAGTAAGTCGTATAATAATAGTCTATAGGTGAAAATAGAGCTTATAATAATAGAAACATAAATACACATAATCTAGTTACTGACTAGTTGTAATATATATATATATATATATATATATATATATATATATATATATATACATATTAGTCCATTAATAGTTCTCAGAAGTTGCCCGTAATTTAATCTTCACAAGGATATGACACTGCCGATCCTTGTACATAATTATCGACTTAATTCGCGTTAGAATATAAACAAGTCAAATACAAGAATGAAGTTTGAAGTGAGCCAACTCGATTTAACCAATCGTGAATCGATAATTATAGTCAAACAAAAATGAGTTACAGACACATAATGTATAAGGTGAGTAATTAACACACATTCAAATAAAAATAGTCAAGAATAATAAGCGAATAGTTAACAAGGTAAAATGTGGGTTGAGAAGAATGAATATATTGGTTGGTTCAGAAGGTGGAATAACCTTTGTTGGCTTGACATAGTACCAGCCACTACATGTTCAACGTGTGACTTCTTATTCGGTGTGGTGTGCAATCTGATAATTCGTGCTTAGGTAAGCTAATATGTGTTTAAAATAGTTGTTGATTCGGTGATTGGAACATAATAGTTGAAGTTTGTCTGCTGAATTCTCTCCCGACTTAAGACTAGAGATTGAGAAAGGTTTGCGAATAGGTGTACCAGTAGGAGCGGGGTTGATGTCAACTGAAGGTCAATTGCACAGATCAGGACGTATAACTGACTAATCCCAAGATGCCAGGCTACAGAGAGAATAGCAGTTGCGGGATAGAAGAAATTATAATCAGAAATATCACTGAAGAACTCAGCATGTGATATCCACTAAGGTCTCAAGTCCCAACATACTATACATATGATTGAAGTGAATTCATAATTGTATATTACACAAAGTACATCGATTGATTAAATTAATGATAAGACTGGTAGTTCATTGAACTCTGGTGGTTATGTGAATTCTTAACTGAATTTTTAATTCGCACAATGTTCCCCGCTTCTCAATGCCGTACACTAGAAACTAAAAGGCGGAAATACAGACAACAAAGGATGATTACCAAAGAATGCAACAGACTAAAAGACTTTTACGAAAGTGTTAAACTTCCACCTTCATTAATCAGAGTGAAGAAAAGTGTACTGAGTTAACTTGCTCATTATACTGGTGTGGGGTAGGAAAGTGTTTAGATCATATCGATTAAAAATGTATCCCATTAGTTAATGAGTAGATTAGAATGGGCAACAACGTAAATAAGAAAATTCAGTCTAAAAATACTTTGTTTATTTTAATCACCTTTAGACCCTCCCCTCAGCAGTGTCTATGTTGACTGTAACAAGCAAAGCATGTTTTAATAGGTGCGAGGCAGGTGAAATACAGGAATTACCAAGTCACTAGAGACTTGAAAATTTTACCATGCAGTAATTTTATTTCGTGTAGTTATTCAGTTATCATCAACATAAAACCTGGCCTAAGTTTTCATATCGTATCGGCTTGACGAGATGAAAATAACGTCGCAGTAATGAAAACGAGAAAGTATGAAAAGTATATATGAAGGAATACTGGAATTCAAGATAAAAAGTGCTAGGTTTGAAGCGGTTACGAGTTCACTTAGACTGAGGACGGAGCAAAGACTTGTGACCAAAGACCAATGAACTAGCTATTCTATTGCGTTCCAGCCTCGCTAACTAGAGAGAGAAGTCGAAGTCCGAACGGGGAAGTATATTCCGCAAATAGCCAGAAGCACGGGCGATAACAACAGACACAAATCAAAACGTATATATACAGCACAAAACCGTGCTTGGAAAGCTTTACAAAATAACATACTAAAAGACAACGGACCAATAGCGTTTAAGATTCTCCCAAGTGGGAAATACGACATGAAAGTGAAAAGAGCGCTTTTGGCGCGAAAACAAAGAAATTCAAATTTTCTAAATAAAATTACAAAATTATGTCTTTTTCCAAGTGAGTTCTGGGGACCTAACGTCCTCAACAGAAAGCCAGATAAAGAGTGAATCTATCTGTGTCACAGTGATTGATTCTGACCCGCTTGACTCAATGTCTCTAATAACTGATAGCAATTATCCCGCGGAACTCCATTCAGGATTCCGTATCTAGATAGAAAAGTGTGACAGTTAGTGACATCTTGGACTGATTTCATATCTTGTTATGGATATACCATTGGTTTTTTCTAACCACCCCTCTCACTGATAAACATCGCTCGTCGTCAAAGTAGATGGTGTTTAGGCTATGTATAACAAGTATGTGCTAACCACTTCAGTCAATGAAGATTAAACAATCTCAACAACGGATTTTTTTTACCTTTGCCTAGCAACCTCCATACGTAAACTTCATTATTACTCACTTGGTCGTTCCACGAGACGCGAACAATACTTCAAAGATGCCTATAATCAAACTTCATTCCATATTATTACATTTAATCAATATATGCGTAACGCCCAAAGTATTTTACGCTAAATTCCAATAAATGGGGGAAAAGTTCCTTAATAATTTAATAAACATCAGACAATATATCAACTTCAAGTTACGCTTACTCGTAATTGAATTCTGTTTTGTAAGAACACGAGAATGAGTATTAGCATTATTGTTAAGGTTTGGTGACGATGTGATTGTACGTTGAAAATGAAATATATTGGAGATAGTATCTATGATCGTCTGTTCATTTCCATCATTGTTCATAAGCTAAGAGGAATTTTTTCATATAAAATAACATGGTTGAAGTAAAATAAAACGATAAAGAAATAAGAAGATTTTTATGAAATCCAATCTCAGCACTCGCGAGACTCGAACCCGGGACCATCGATATTGCATGTAAAAACTTAAACTCTAGACCACTGAGCTCGCATCCAACAATGTTAATGTCTAACTTCAATCGATCTCGCGCAATCCACTGTCTGAGGCGGGTAATTCTTCAATCTATAGGGATTGGATTCCACTAGTCATAACTTCTCACTAGAAATCCAGGAAATCCATCTAGTCACTAGTGAGCAAATGATTAATTTAGTCATGTAGATCACATCGTTGTTTGGTATACAACTGGTTCGTATATGAAACAACCTTGTTATCTTTAAAGAAGAGTGAGTTCCAGAGAAACGACTTACTAATGTAAACATGTAAAGTATCAACTTTGAAAGTAATGGTGCAAAATATTGTTCTGTATGTAATTTACATCACCGTTTGACATTAGTTGGACGATTATAATGAAACGTAAAAAGCATCGGGTAGCTCCATTTTGTCCAAAAACGAGAGTTGCTTGAAGGTGTATCTATATGATATTACTAGGGGTAGGATATCTAGTGTCTATAAGCCTCGCATGATGCCTAACTTTCAAACCATTGAGTTGGCATTTGACTCCTGGGTACGATTCTTGGTGGAGTTGTTGATGGACATTACTAAGTTCCATGCTAGTATGAAACAACTGTCAAGTCCGCGATGTAAACAATAGATTCCGAGATTACTAGTTATAGTCACATTGCTCTCTCTCTATATATATATATATGCTGACCCAGATATAGACAGACAAGTGAATTATTAATTCACGTGCGATAGCATCCCGACGCTTTTATGTTTTGTGTGTGAACTCTTCCGGCCTATCAATATGTTGTTGATTAAATGCTACATGAGACTGGCTAGACCACCAGTGATATCTCTCTTCAACTTCAAAGACGAATGATGATGAATCGAGTTATCGAAGAAGATCGAGTTTCCACAAATATGCATGCACAATACCTCCTTGTTGAAGGACAATATCGGATATGAAGTTTTAAATTTAATCAAACAATTAACTCAAAGTAGTAGTACAAAGTATGGTCATATAAACAAAAAGCTAACATACAATAAACTTGGAAGTTACATAACCATCAACGTTAATAAGTAAACACAATCTTTGGTTTTAGATAAATAAAACGTTACTCTATACAGGGCCATAAATATAACACCTTACTGTATAGATAAATCTTATAGAAAACCTAAAATTCATACCAGCTGTTTGATTCATTATATAATTTATTATTTAGTCATTTAAACACGTTATTATCGTCTTTAAGTATATAGCTTTATTGATGGGAACTTCAAACTGTCGAACAAGAAAATATGAATAAATTACCCGTTCGCAATAAATTTTCGAAGCTGTGAGAACATAAAACTGATTCCTTTCCTACTTATATGTTAAACATAAATATCATTATTAAAAATCATTTATTTTTACAAACACCTACCTACCTTAGATGTGATAGACTTTTCCATTGAATTAGATAGATTATTCTTACCAAACACAATTTTAAAATTTAATAATTCTTGCAACTGACCGATTCTAGCCTCTAAAAGTCGATTGTGATCGAGTAGAGTTGACAGACCGGATAAATAATCCGAAACATAATTTTCACGTTGTAAATCGTATTTAGGCAAACGCCATTCCCAATGTAAATAAAGATCACGCCATAAACTGTTGCAATGAAATGAATGAAAACAAGAATATATGCTTAAAAATCTAAGTCTACAAATTGATGGTGTAATTCGATTGCTTGATTTATGACGAAGCAAGTGTTTCGGCTGATCAGTCAGCTACGTTATGCTAAAAGTTAGCACACTAACAAAACTGATAATAATGTCTAGTTTGATAAGTAATCATAAATGAATTGGAATTGACACATCCACAAAATAGTTAACTGAAGGTTATATATATATCTGTTGATTAATTGAGTAACGAAAGCATGACAATTCAGTAAGACTTTTTATTCTGTACGGAACAACTATATTATTTCATATAAATAGGACAGAAAGGTGAATATTTTCTAGGTGAAAGATTTCGCTAACTGACGCCAAGAAATAAGATGGTAAAATTCTGTAATTGCGCATAGACTAAAGCGAGTCAATGACATTAAACTACATGTAGAGATAGAATTTCCTACAAGTCATTCCATTATTTCAAGAAAAACACAATAAAATGATAAATAAATAATATATTTGTAATATCCTAATGAGTAGAGAATATTCTCTGAAGAAGTGGCTTACACTAAGTCACGAAACGTCAGAAAATCAAGTTTTTCTACTTATTGGAATATTACAAATATAAATATTTATTTATAACAATCTACCCGATGCTCAATTCATGCGAAATTATCAAGTCAAACCTTGGAAATGATACCTACAATAACATAATGTTTTTCAGCACATAAAAATTCAATTAACTGAAATTACAAAATACAGATTAGTAAGTTAGTTGAAACGTAGAACCTGGTACGTATGTAATAGGTATCGAAAAAACGATTCAAGAAGAAAATATAAATTAGTGAAATACAAACAAAGTTTGAGGAGAGACAAAGAATGGATGCATCTGCGCCATGTCATCCGAAGTCTCTACCACTGGCTATGATAATTATGCGGACCGCAAAAAACTGGTCTACACATGTTAACATGGTTCAATTCGTTTGCCAATGACTTCAATGATTGATTCTACGTCTGGATTTGGGTAGTCCTAGCCTTCACCCTAATCCTACACCAGACATCATCCGTCGAGATAGGCGGTAGTTGAACATATGTAACACATGTCCCAACTATCTTAGTCGATGAAGATCTACTAACTTATCAATCAATTTACCATCTTTACCTAAAATCCTATTCCTAACCCGGACATTGTCTACTAGGTAGTCCCAAAATACACGAGAATGATTCGAAAATATATGTAATGGAATACTAGTAATCTACGATTACCCTCACGTCTTTATGGCCATGAATCACATCAATAAGTTAGAACCGATCAAACTCATTTGATTGGTAGAGCGATATTTCACATACACCCCAAGTGATGCAATTTAGTAAAACTAATCAAGCCTTCCAAATTTGTGTCAAGACATCATCTGTGGCTGAATGCCAGTTGAACTGTAACATAAAGTGTCCTGTCGATCAGCTCAATCTCCTGGATGAATAACAGTCCCAGCATTATATGAGATTGTCTCACTAACAGCCGGATTTTTATTACCCGTTCCCTTGATAAGTCTGAACAGTTGTCTACTATTACCTATCGTCGCTGCTTTTTCGATCTCTTCTGCATTCGTCACCCACCACTGCTCACGATCACTACGTAGGCTTTTGATCAACCTACGCTTAATCGGCTTCTGCTTCTCATCGTGTTTGGAGTCAGATGGGATGAATTCCCGAGCATCTGTGAGCTCATTAGGCACTGCAGAAATCCACCTTTTTTTCATAACTTTTTGGTTTAAGTCACTAGTGAATATCACTACTGTTTCCACAGCTTTTCGGACATCATACTAAGTAACCTCGGGGTGAATATCACTGTCATGGTTTACTAGTTGCTTCTCTAGTTGTTCATGAAATATATTTTGACTTATTCATCGTTAAGTTGAACTCCAAGGGGTTTTCTTTGTATGGTTTTTCTAAGTCCAGGACGACGCAGACAAACACATCCCCGAACTAGAGCACGATTCTAGTCTAAACATATACTCCAGAATGAGCGACAGTTTCCTATCGAGTTTTTTCAACGATGGCAATATGGTCTATTTGAGTCCATCGATGAGTCGATTGTGGAGGTCGCCGCGTCAGATGATGCTCTTCCTTATGCTTAAAGTTGGTATTTGCCAGAAATAGACGGTTATCTGAACATAGTTGCAACAGACGGTCGCCAATATCTGTTCGTTGAGCTGAGACACCGTAAGATCCGCTCAAGTGCCTTTCAATCTGGCTTGGTCTACCTACTTGGGCACTAAAATCACACGTAACCATTGCTATATCAGTGCGCCTAGCTCTTTGGAGGAGGTTGGATAGATTTCCTATAAAATTCATCTTTGACGTCGTCCGAGCTGCAATCGATTGGAGATAGGGCAAAGACAACGAAGAGGTAACGGCGTGTGCTCCTAAATTTCTGAGTTCTTACTGTCTTGAGTAGTCGGACAGCACACAAGCGACTGTCTATTGAAATTCAGTCTCGGAGAGCCTGTTCCGCTTTTGAAATTAAGGCTATACCTGCACCAGTGAGGCCACTTGGGGATTTCAGATACACAAAAGGTAAATCGTGCCAGTTCTTTACACTGACAAAGTAAGATCAGAGAATGAATGTACTTGGACCCCGTGTGTTTCGGAGACTCAGCATACATTGATGGCGCGAGGTTCTAGAGTCCAAGCTAAAGAAATCTACTATCCTATCTGACACAAGGTTCGAAAATTAAAATCTCACACATGTAGTTTGGAGTATGGTTTCAAGATACCAGGGATAAGATTTCGTGAACTCAAATCATTAACAATGGTAGTGCATGGTGATAGATATGTGAGTAGGGTTAGGAAAACAATTGACAGGTGAGGGGTGGATTTGATCTTAAACAAGATCATCTCGGGTGCCCCTAAATGCACTGGTACGGTAGAGAGTGAGGAAGGACCTTCATCCCACTCCCTCTGCCATACAGTCCCTGCCAGGGAAGTCCTACTCACTACCTTCTCACACCGGGGGTGCTATTTATGAAATTGAGAGGATGGAAAGCGAATGTCCGGCATTTTAACCAGGTTGGTGGATATGAAAGATCTACCTGAGGATTATAATTCAGACAACTCATGTCCATTTGATAACATTCATTGTTATGTTTTTATATACTATGCAACAAAGATAATCCATTTCATTCCCACTCTGTCTATTCTTACTTTTCGAATTAGACAGAAGCTCACGTATGGTGGAAACTCGGTTCTATCTAAAAGTTCTCGAGTCACTGTCCGGTTGAAAACTGTATACAACCACCAAATACGAATACTAACACAGCTTTTCTGAAACCACGTGCACCATTCAAACTGGCTGCCTTCAACGTTCGCACACTAGTGCAGGTCGGACAACAAATAGGGCTGACTATGTCTTTAGAAAGTCTTAATATCGATGATTGCTGTCTATCCGAGACCCGTATTCAAGACTCTGGTGAAGTACTACAAATTCGCTCTCCATCTGTCGCTTTGAAAAGCTTGGTTTACGTGTGTTCATCCGGCGACCCTGTGGCATCTTCGTCTGGTCTTGCTGGCGTTGATGTCACACCAAGCGCTAGAGCTGAGGCAGCACTAATCGATTGGATCCCCATTAACAGTCGGTTATGTGCTGTTAGATTAGAGAGTTCCATCAAAGTGAGAAGAAATCGGCGTGAGAAACGATGTCTTTTCGTCATCTCCACAGATTATAGCCCGGATGCAATCAAGGATGAATTCTACCACCAGTTATCTGTCCTTCTCCAGAAAGTGCGTTCGGCAGATATTGTAGTACTAGCCGGAGACTTGAATGCTCAGGTCGGGCATCTAGGCACAGAAGAGAGTCGTTTTGGTGGCCGATGTGGACTTGTTGGCCGCAGGACAGATAACGGGGACCGTCTACTGCAACTGTGCATAGACCACAACATATTTCTGGCTAGCACTAACTTCCGGCACAGTCATCGCCGATGTGCCACCTAGCATCCTCCCTCTGCATCTCAAGCCTGGACTCGGATTGGTCACACCGCTGACGTGGTTGTGTACAAGACTGCCGCTACTTTCCGAGTAACTTTCTGGACAATGAACATGCCCTGGTCTGCGCTAATCTTACCTTACTTCTCAGTGGCCAACGAAGTGACCACCACCAACGGATTGATGTCAGCAAGTTGGTTGCAGCTTCTGTTGCAACTAAATATTAAATCGAGCTAGGTTCAAGGCTAGCTAACATCCCACTGAAAAGTGTAGATGAGCACTGATTACAATTGCACGACGCCATGAAAATGGCGAGTAAAGTCGCATGCGGTTTCGCCAAAGGTCTCGCTTATAAGCACTGAGTTTCTTCAGGCTCCTTACAACTCATTCAAGCCCGTCAGTCTACTCCGAGTGACCGTGAGTTTGACCACAAATGGCGGTGTGGATCTGTTGCCTGGAGAAAAACTTAATAACCTTCAGTATGCGAATGATATTGTCTTACTGTGCGATAATGCCCAAGCCATGCAATCTGCACTTAATCAGTTGGCAATCAGTGTCCGTAGGTATGGTATGTGCTTTGCACCTTCGAAGTGCAAAGTACTTCTGCAAGACTGGCAGGATTCCAATCCTGTACTCACCCTGGATGGTGAGCAGATAGACGTAGTCGAGAAGTTCGTGTATATAGGTAGCTGCATAAGTGCTGGTGGTGGCGTGAGTGGTGAGATCAATGCACGTATCGTGAAAGCCAGAGCGGCTTATGCCAATCTGGGCCATCTTTGGCTCCTTCGTGATGTTAGTCTGGCTGTAAAAGGTCGGATCTACAACGCGTCGGTGAGAGCAGTTTTGCTCTATGCTTGTGAAACCTGGTCTCTCCGAGTTGAGGATATTAGACGACTCTCTGTGTTTGATCATCGTTGTCTCCGAAGGATTGCTGACATTCAGTGGCAACACCATGTTAGTAATGCAGAGGTTCGGCATCGTGTGTTCTGGCACAGAGATGATAATGCAATTGGTGTCACCATCTTGAAACACCGACTTCGGTGGCTTGGACATGTTCTCCGAATGTCGTCCCAGAGAATTCCACGTCGTGCGTTATTTGCCGACGCTTGGACTGGTTGGAAAAAGCCGAGAGGTGGGCAGTGTATGACATGGTGTCGTGGTATGAAAGAAACCTGCAAAGGGATGGCTTATGTTGGTCCTTCACGACTCCCTGGCTGGGGTCTGAGAGATTGTGCGACACAGTGGCTAGAGACGTTATCAGATATGGCTCAGAATAGAAGCCAGTGGCGATCCTGCTGTAATCTTCTTTTACTTTCTTCATAAAACGTGGTTGTACCTTCCTTAACTGAAAGAATTCCTTCTGGTTGTCCCTTTCCGTTCCCCACATTATTATTATTATTATTAGTTGGCTACCATACACTAATCTGTAATCGTTATTGTTCCTTTTATCTGATACGCACCTTACATTCTTTTTCTCGTCCCATTCTCATTGTTTTGTGTGGCGTATATATATCTGGTGCCCCCCTTTATGTGTTCAAATAATTAATTAAAAATAAATGATCTCAGATGTCAATAGAGGTATGAAGGCGGTTGTCACTTTCTGGCTGCCGATACCGCAGAAGGATTTTTGCCTTATGGGACCTGAAAATAAAGCTGAATTAGTTGTATTTTCAGCGACCTGGGAGCGTGAACGCAGAGCCCAAGCGATAACTTCTTGAGGCCGGTCACGCACGGCCTTTTTGATGATTTAGCTTCGCACTTCAAAAGATCTTAACTTTGGAGAAGGAAATCCACAGGATAAGGTGTGACATTTTTAGGGTCGACGTTTTTTAACCTCTGCTTTCCGTTGTGAGAAGGTAATATCGCTGCAGACGCTGGTTGCACAGGATGAGATATAAACTGCTGATATGCCTAATTTTTTTGGAATGAATATATATATAGCGGATGGTTTAAAACACAGTTGTCGCTCAGGTATATATATATATATACCTGAGCGACAACTGTGTTTTAAACCATCCGCTATATCAGTAGCCGTGCTTGATTTAGAAAATGTGTATCAGTATCAACTGTCGGACAGCGCACGATACAACAGCATGCTCATTGTTATTGCTATTATTATTATTTTATTTATTATTGAAACTTTCTCTGATTTCGATCTCATTCATTTCATTTCTATCTCTCACACACGAAATCAACTTAGAAGGAACATATACATTGAACAATTGTCAGAAGCTTTTCCAACTTTATACGAGCTGCTGTCAGTGAGAAATCTAGTGTTAGTTAAACACACTATGGGATTACATGCAAATGCCAGCTAATAGTAGTCTTCAAAGTAGACTTCACAGAGCATTCTGGAAGAAATTTATTGGTTGGTCAGTTGCTTTAACACAACTTCGGCCAAAGAAATTATTTTGCTTACATTATCACTTAGAATGAAAAAACCCATAAAATATCTTGGATGCTAATAGGAATGAATAAACAGCTTGTTACCTACCGAAATAAAGGTGCACATAGAATATATACAGGTAGTATATCCGCTGCATATCGACTATTCCCTTTACCATCATTAATCAACTCAATTCCAACAGTAATTAATTCATCGGTTTCAAAATGAGATGATATATTGTATTTGTAGTTACCCCTGCCACCCCCGTCAATAGAAAAATCTGTCCATACAGAATTATGTTCATAGAATGGATTGATCCATCTGCCACGATATCGATTTAAATAACCCCATAAAGAGTAAGTGCGTTGTTGAACTCTACAATAAAAAAAATACTATGACCTACATCAATAATCCACATAGAAAAAACAAACATTTAACTGAACTGAAATTTGTGAACACAGACAACTTATATTTAACTGTTTGATCAAGAATCAGATATCAATAGACACAATTACGTTGACACGAAGTACAGTGGTGGGAGTTGAAGTCATCTACAACCTAGTAGAAGCTTCCACAGATAATGGGATATAGTCAAGTTAAAATATGTAACAAAAGCTGCAAAACTGAGGTGATTCGAGTAGATTTTCACTTCTACTTGGTTGGCACCCGTGTGACAGATTCAATAGTTGAAGACGCTCGGTGGTAAGGTTTGAAATTGGTTACAGTAATGCAAATCTATTAAGTCTATGTTTTAAACTGGATATCGAGAGTTACTACTGTGGAGTATGCTATTTATGTCAACAGACATAAGTAGTATGCGACACCAATCACAAGTGGAATTCCTGGAAGCAGAAGGTTGAGAAGATCGAATTGAAGAGAACAGAAAGAGATTGTAATAACAAATAGAATGAAGGAACGACGATGTTTGTAAGAGACAATTGATGGAAGATGTGCAAACTGTGTATTTAATATATGGTTTTCATATTTTAGGAAGACATTCTGTAATATAGAAATAAACAGTAAATTGGTATTACCCACCTGACTTCTCGTTCACTACACTATTACTCCAAACTTACAACTAAATGATAACTGAGTAGTGACCAACGTCAAATTCTTCTTAGTGTTAATCGAATTCTATTGATCAGAATCGTAAATGCATCCCAGTCCTACAGTTCAGTCACGACCCGAGTTCAGGGGTAACGTCGTCGACTATGAAGCTAGAAGAGACAGGATAGAATTCCCCAACCAGCATCGTTCTCCTAGACATTACAGGTACACCATTACGACGAGTGTCGAATAGAACGAAACCTAGGTCAAACGGATTGTGTCGACTATTTCCAACCACCAACCTACATTTCATAATTTTTTACCCCATGAATGCATTCATTCTTTCTAAACTATATTTTTTATAACCACTGGTCTTTTTCACAAACACAGACAGTATCACTAATAATACGACTAGTTTATCAAGTGTTTAGTTCATTTATATCTCTTTACGCTGATGCAACTATGCCAAATTTAACCGAGGCATACATCAGTGTCAGATGCTAGATAGACCATGGCAACTTAATAATAAACAACTTATGAGTGGTAGTCGCTGCGTTAGACACGCAGTAATTAGGTCGCAGCTTTGGGCTCTCATCTCATCCTGCTCCAGTTAAGACTACCGGATGATAGTAGGATCACCAGCACCAGACACTTGCAGTGTGGCTTGAAGTTAAGTACAAAAATCTGTACAAGGTAAATGAGTTTTAAAAATCGGAGACAAAACAACTAACTTTAAATTGATTCTTTCTTTTTCACTACATCCAATAAATGTTCCATAAACGGCTGAATAAATTTGATCATGTAAATACTTTAGTAATTTAATATTATATTCAAATTTAGTTGGGCAGATTTCTAGCAAATGTCGTAAGCAATCAAGAAATTGTGTAAATATTGGGGAGATTTCACGAGGATCAGCGCCTGACACTAAACCACATCGTTCAGTGAATTTGTAACCGAATTGTATCCAGTCTTTTTCAATTAAAGCCTAACAAGATAAAGTTATATGATATATATATATATATATATATATATATATATATATATATATATACCTACTTACGCCTGTTACTCCTAAAGAAGCATAGACCGCCGACCAACATTCTCCAACCCACTCTCTAGTTCTATCCAATTGTTGTTCATTCTTTTCATATTCGTCTCCGTTTCTCAGCGCAATGTGTTCTTTGGTCTTCCTCTTCTCGTTTGGTTTTGAGGATTTCAAGTGAGGGCTTGCCTTGTGACGCATTTGGGTGCTTTCCTCAATGTGTGTCTCATCCACTTCCAGTGCTTCTTCCTCCGCTGAGATCTGGTTAGTTCTCTCCCATAGTGGGTTGTTGCTGATAGTGTCTGGCCAATGGATCCGAAGTATTTTGCGTAGACAGCTATTAATAAACACGTGTATCTTCTGGATGATGGCTTTCGTAGTTCTCCAAGTTTCCGCCCCATACAGTAGAACTGTCTTGACATTGGTATTAAAAATTCTGACTTTGGTGTTGGTTGACAGTTGTTTTAACTTCCACGTGTTCTTCAGTCGTAAATATGCTGTTCTTGAATTTCCGATCCGCACCTTCACATCTGCATCAGATCCATCGTGTTCATCAATGATGCTACCCAGATATGTAAAGGTTTTTACATCTTCCAAATCTTCTCTGTCAAATGTGATTCGACTGTTGCATGTTGTGTTGTCTTGGAGAATCTTGCATTTCCCTTTTTGTATGTTGAGACCTACTGCTGCTACACTGGTTGGCTTCTTTTGTATTTGTTGTTGCGTGTGCGATAAAAAAGCCAGATCACCTGCAAAGTCTAGGTCGCCAGCTGTCCACTGTATCCAGTGCTTCCCCCTAGATGTTGACGTCTTCATCATTCAGTCGACCACTAGGAGAAAAAGAAGAGGTGATAGTAAACAACATTACCTGACATCGGTCTTTACTTCGAACGAGTCTGTGAGCTGTTTCTTCAATTAATGGTGGGCCAGCATTGATTGGGACGTCCCTGGGTGCTGCTTCGATGTTAGGTGGGTCCAGTGGAGCTGGTCGATTCAAGAGTTTTTGAAGTGTTCTACCCACCTGTTGCGCTGTTCTTCGATGTTGGTGATCACTTTGCCCTCCTTGCTTTTCACTGGTCGGTCTGGTTTATGATAATTTCCAGCGAGTTTCTTTGTGTCATGCAATTATCTCATGTTTCCTTCTCTTGCAGCCTTTTCCTCCGTCATCGCTAAATCCTTCACATATTTGCGTTTGGCGGTTCTGATGCTCCTTTTCATTTCCTTGTTTACTTCTGTGTATTCAGCTTGTGCCTTGGCTTTCTCTGCTCTTGTTCGGCTGATGTTGACTGCTGTCTTGTTTCTCATTTCTTGAATCTTATCCAGTGTATCAACAGTGATCCATTTCTTGTGGTGGTGCTTCTTGTGGCTCAGAACCTCATGACATGTTGAAGTGATTGCCTCTTTTATCCCTTTCCAGTTGCTTTCCATAGTAGTTCCCTCTCCATTGAGTAGATCATGAAAGGCCTGAAATCTATTGCTGAGGACTATCTTGAATTCGCTGAGTTTGTCAGTATCCCGAAGGCCGTATTAAACTCCTCTGATGTTGTCCGCTCCATTCTTGAGTTTCAATTTCATCTTGGCGATCAGCAAGTGATGATCTGATGCTATATTAGCTCCTTTCTTGGTTCTCACATCCTCCATTGTCCTCCTGAACTTTTTTGATGCAGATATGGTCGATTCGGTTCATTGTAGTGTGATCCGATGAAGTTCACGTGGTTTCGTGTATGCGTTTGTGTGGGAATATATTGCTGCCTATGACCAGTTTATTTAAGGCACATATGTTTGCAAATCTCTTACCATTTTCGTTCCTTTCTCCCAATCCATGTCGTCCCATGATCTCTTCATATATATATATATATATATATATATATATATATATATATATATATATATATATATATATATATATATATTTATAAAGTGAAAATCACAGAGCATTGATAAATTGTCATCAGCCTTATTTAGGACTGTAAAAGTATGCATCAATAGTCATAAAAACCGTTGGAATTTTCGTTGCAAATATAGCACGACCATAGATGCCACCTTGACACAATGACCGAGCTTGTATGTGATGATCCAACAGAGTAATATTGGCTAGGACACTTATTCCCTGAGGACCTGACCATGACAGGAAAATTGGTTTGGGGGGAGTGAAACTAGAAACAGCAACCTTGAGATCCACAAAGAAGTCTTACTGCCAACTATACTGGGGTGCGACAGTATTTTCGATCAAGAAACGGTTAAGGTTGAGTTTTATTTTGCTTGACTGTTCCTGGTTTCCTATGCCATTCAGTGTAAGATGTTGGGGTAGGTACTATGGTTAGAACATGCGTTACATATGCTAACCAATTGACCAATCTATGAAAATCTAGTCCCGTCGAGTGGTTACTCATAGTCCCCTAGAACCCCGCCCTACCTTACCTACAACTCCGGATGTGACTCAACTAGCAACTTCAATACACTTTAGAGATGCTATATATATATATATATATATGCTAGAAACTTACGTATATTAAGAAAGCTTGGTATAATTGTTATTACTTTCAGTTTGATAATTTGCTATATAGTGTACGTCATTAACTCTTAAATACACCACTATAAAATTAACTGAGACAGCAAACGAATACTTCAAACAAAAAAACTTTCCTCATCAATAAACATACTGAACATGAAAACTAACATGTTTCACGTTGCTAATGGTTCTGATGAGTTACATGATATAGGACAGCTTTTTGGTGTCTTATGGATTTAACTCCCTTCTTGATATTTAAGTTATTTGTACAATACAGGTCAAAAAATCTCTACGTATTTACATATTCATTTGTTTTTAACTTACTTGCAACCCTAGAAATGTTCTATAATATGGATCTAATATAATTTGAGCTAGGGCACAAACTTGAGCAGTACGATCCCATCCATCGGAACAATGTACAAGTACAGAATTTCCTTCATCTAATCGTTTTGCGACAAAATAAGCTGCTTCTAATATAGCATGTAAATGTTTCAACCAACCAGATTTATTTAAACCAGAAGTAAATTGTTCCACATTAACTGTTGGATTACAACATACTATATTGAAAAGAAATATAAGAAATGAAAGTGCTAAGTGTAAAATCGAACATTAAATACCTCATTTGCATATCATTCTTCAGTTATCCTTACAAACTCCATCATTCTTTTAATGATATTGTTATCGTGATTGGTCTCTGCTTTCCCTCCTTTTCTCTTTATTTCAATCTTCTGCTGGTTAACATTCCACTTCCAATTCCGGCTAAATACTAGTTATATCTGTCCGCATAAGTAGCGCACACTACACGTGTACCAGCCAAAAACAACCAAGTAAAAAAGTAGGGAAGCATATATGACACCTCAATTACTTGTCAGACTATCTACCAGTTTATCTAGGAAACCCACCGATCAATGTTTCCTTTCATCCATACAACAATAAGAATACTAACTTTATTCGGTACCACATGTTTGGCTTAGGCAGAATTTTTAGCACAAAATCGCAACAAATTTCTTATTTTTCAAAAAAAATCAGTTGGATTCCAAATAATAGGAAAAAGCAACATTCCCCAACGCCTCATAAAAACGGCTTTTCTGAGTTGAAGATGTTAAACAACTCTCTATGTTAGACCATTGTTGTTTGCGAAAAGCTAATATTAAGTGGATACACTGTTAGTAATACTGAGGTTTGATAGTGCATTCAGGCACAGTGACAACAACTCAAGTGATGTCACTATCTTGAAACATTGACTTCGGTGGCCTGGATGTAATACGAGTGGCATCTCAGCGACTTTCACATCGTCCGACACTTGCCAACGATAGAACGGTATAGAAAATGTGGAGAAGTGGTCACTTTATGACATGTCACCGTGGTGCCAATAGATGCTCTATAGAACCGGATTCCGTCGACTTATCATGACTACCTGGTTTGGGTCCGATAAATGGTGCAACTCAAAGGCTTAAGGCGTTATTAAACATGGCTTAGAACGGAAACTAATGGCGATCATGAAGCACTTTTCTTTTATACTCAAATGTGAGCACCACTACGCTAACTGAATTGTTTTTATTGTTAACCAAACTGTTTCACCTATTATACTGTTAGTGTTAACAATTTTCTTTTTTCATTGTCTTCAAATGTACTCTTTTTCCTCTACAATATTATTCATACATTGTGCGGTGCATGCTATTTTTTGATGCCCTGTTGTACCAGCTTATACGTGCTTATATAAATTATTAAATACTAAAATTCTTGAGACCTGTGGGCAACTTCTTGGTGTATGAGAGATTTGGAGAGAACGTTCATTCTGAATGCAGTTATTTATGCCATAAAAATTGACTTCCTCTAAACAATCAACCAAAACTTTGGAGTGGTAGACAATCGCTTTCTTGTATTATATTTTTAAAATTTCAACCTCTCATTACCGCGCCAAAAGCACCCATTTTCACCTTCATGTTGTATTTTTCATTTGGAAGGGTCTTATATGTCATTGGCTCGTTTCCTCTTTCAATACGCTATTTTGTGACGCTTCCCAAGGACATTTTTATGTTGTATATATACGTTTGAGTTGTGTGCCTGTTTGTTCGCGCTTTTAACTGCTTGTGCAATATACTTCTACATCGGCTGAATCTCTTTTCCCTCTAGATAGCAGGGCTGGAGTGCAGTAAATAGTTAGCTTGTCTTGTTATCGTGTTGCTGGCTTTCGTTTCGTTCGCCGGTTTAGGTGAATCTCAATCCCTTCAAATGTAGCCCCAATAGACAATTATGTGGGAGAAATTGAGTCAAAGATTACGTAATGATTTCAAGTATACTTACATTCAGTTGGTTTTCGTATTGATTCAGTGTAATTTCTGCATAATAAAATATTTACTTTAATTAATTGGTCCTATATGATTTTGCGTTCATATACATTAATACAAATGAATTTTGTGTGAACATCGTGTGATATAAAAAAACTTTTATATTAAAATCAGAGACTAAACCTGGATATAAACGAATGCATTTGAATGATTAATCTCTTTTGATCTCTTTCAAAAAACTTTGAATACCGTTTCTAGTAAGTGGACAGAGAGGAAAAGAACAGGAAGCCATTAATAATAATAATAATAAGCAGTCTTGTTTATTGTCACTGAAGCTAGAGTTAGAAATTGGTTGCTCAGACCACAAACGTTTCAATCTCTTGGTTCATTGTATCGCCAAAATACATGTGTCATCCTCTTTGATATTAAGTCAATTTATGTATGACGGTTAGAGAGTGGTGCTTTACACGCCTGCTCAAAGAGGGATTCGAACATTGGAATAATGTCGATATTATTCGTGAGTATGTATTGTATTAACCGAGTTCAGTGGATGATATAACTCAACGGATTTTAATAAAATGATCGAAAAGAATGGGCGCTGATAATTCACCAACAACCGACAACAAGCATAACTGCTACCTGCATCCTGCCCATCACCATCAGAACCACAAACCTCACTGGTTGGTGAAGGATCAGAAGACCAAAGTCATCCCTGTGACTACGAAGAATGAATTATTATTTGGGAAAAATATTACCATTCATGTGCAGTTTTAATCATTCTTAAATCACATTAAAAATTTTATTAAATAGTTCATACTGATTAATTTAACGGTTTGTTTTAACTACACAGCAGCATGAATCAAAATCTGTAGTGAGAAAAATGTCCACTTCATTAACTAACGACCTTAAATGATGATTACTACTTCGGCTACTTTCCATCATCATCAATGGGCTTCCAGCTCCTACTACGTTTGCTTAAAATTGAATAATCGGACACTTTCATCACTCAAAATGAAACGAATCTGGATATCAAAATTAAGTTTTCGAAATTTTGTTTAATTACTGAGTTAAGCTGTTAGTGGAAATTATTCCAATTACTTAAAGTCATGTAGTGATCTCATGAAAGAAAAAAACATGTAATACCGGTAAATGAGGTTCAGAATAGTAGGTTTTGTTTTAAAATGTCTTAACCTTACGTTTGAAAACATAAAGATGGCAACAAGGATTTTCATGTAAAGTTTTATAACTTGAACAAGAATTGAGCCTGATAATTAAGTCTTCACTCTATTTGCACTTGAGTGACCGATAAAGCATTCATTTCATCCAATCACTCATGTGCTGAATAACTTGTAATGATGTAGCTAATATATATATATATATATATATATATATATATATATATATATATATATTAGAAAACCTATTCTGTGATGAGTAAATGTCTTGTCTTCAATTAAGGGCTTACGTTGATAATTCGATCTTGTGAACAGTTATCACTCAGCCCTATGGTACCATCGGATATCGTCGTTCATAAAAAAACACTTTTTTCAATTATTTTATTTACCTAAAGACCGTTTCATCATTAGAAATTGTAAAATTGTAATGCTAAGTGGTGTCGGATTCTGAAACTGATACGAAAGCTTCCCATACACTAGCTCAATCGGTTAGTCGGGTGAGAAGGAAGCCTTTATTAACTAACCAGATCAAGAACACCCAACACAATCTTTTTTGAAAACATGAATACAATTAATACGAAAAACGCAAAATAGTACAGTCAATTACAAAAGGAACAATAAATACAAGCCTATCGAAACTCTTCTTTGACTAAAGTTTAATACTATCACTAATATGCATCCTTCATTAAAGTGTATCTGCAAACTTGGAAGAATGCAGCTTTGCATCACGTGACTTTTTGGCGAGATTGGAACAACACGAAGGGGATAACTTACAGTTATTTAACATTATGACACAACACAGGAAATATCGGCGGTGACCACAGCAACAGTTTATAGCCTAATATGATGACATATGTCAATAGTGAAACAAATGTTATTAAGTCATACAAAAACACAACATACAAGACAAGTGTTTAACAATACACATACCTTTTAGTAATTTTTCTAACGATGAACGAACAACATGGATATTTTCAATATCAAAAAATTGTATGACAGCATTACGATAAACATTTGTATCTTCATAACCTTTGCCTTGTGCACGATTAGTAAATGCATTAATTGCTGGTCGTGTATCAACAACATATAATATATTCGAATCGGGATTTGAATTACGTATAGCTTCTAAAAGTACTTGGTCTTCGGTTGATTTCGATGAAAAACCTGCTAACGGTTGACTACTTCGACATAAAGCTGACTAAATACGGTTGTATACATTCACATGAAAAAAAGTGAAAATTGAACGATCAGACTGTCGAATATTTTTTAAAATTTTATTTCAACACATAGATATTGGTACAAAGAGGCACCAAGTACATATGCGCCACACAAATCTCATTCGATATGTGTGAGGGCCGTGATACTGCCCGGGTGCCCAGACCGAAGCAGGTGGTTTTCTTAGGGGGCCACACCCCGAGCCTTCGACCTGAGGGTCTGATCCACAAGGCAGTGGAGCATCGTAAGGAGATGCAATCCCATGGAAGCCAGTGACCAACAATTGGTTCATACGCCATTTTTTCCCGCAGGATACTGGAGCCCATGTGCACCATTGGTTCGGGATCCGGTTAAAGCGCCAGATATTCGCTTTTCGTCGTCTCATTTTCGTAAACAACACCCCTGGTGTGAGAAGGCAGTGAGTAGGACTTCCCTGTCGAATATAGCTTGATGGAACGGCGAACTGATTGATTAAAGTAACTTACTTGATTTTTAACTCGTATATGCAAAGTTCGAAATCCGTCCAATATACTTTGGTTTAGATAACCGGGTATTATTGCTCGGCCTAAACAAAACTAAAGTATATGGCTCAAAGCTGTGTACATCCATTAATCAATTGAGTGTATTTTATAATTACGGGGATTTAGAATTTTATAAAAAATTTTTATGCTTTTGGTTGTTAAAGTAGGATTTGTTGTACGTTCAATTTTATTTATTGTGCCATATAAGTATATTAATGTAAGTACATGATAAGGAGATGGCGAATCATTCATAAAATGTAGATTCAGGGCTAGAAGCATTTTCGCACTGAATGGGTGTAGAGTTAAAATCAACATAATGATTTGAATGGGTTGGTTTTTGGTATATGGCTAAATTTCGACTACCATTAGAATTCTTTTTAACTAGACAGTTTAGGAATAGTGGTTCACTATGTTTATCTTCCTTTTCGAAAGTGAATTTGATGTATCCTGAGAACGTGTTCATGTATTTGGAAAAATTTTTGAGAATCTTTTTGATAATGACAAATGTGTCATCTACATATCTGAACCCGATGCGTTCTACATAAATTTTTCCGTGAGATCTCAACTCGTGTCACGGAACATTTAAGTTACACAAAAAGACCTAATAATCCTGTAAAATTTAAAAGTTTACAAATTAAATCAGTAATAGCAGTACATGCTATTTTCAACAATCACCGAACTGATATTAAAAATACCAAAATAATTCGGAGAGGCTTTTCAACTATAAGGTGAGGCGAGTAGCCGAAGCGTTTCACATAATGCTAAATCCCTCTACCCTCAATAGGAAAGAAGGCCCGAATATTTAACCAACCTGGACTGTTTATCTAAACAAACATATTTGACCCTATTTAATTTCCACACAATTTCAACCCCATTACTTCATATTACAAGTGCATACATTTTTCGTACTCACATTCTGAGGCACAAATTAATATAGTGACAGACCATACAAATTCACCTTGCCCACAAATTACCCGGGCAGTATCACGGCCCTCACACATATCGAATGAGATTTGTGTGGCGCATATGTATTTGGTGCCTCTTTGTACCAATATCTATGTGTTGAAATAAAATCAAATCATAAAAACTATCTTGAACAGCTTAAATGAATGGCTTTAGAATATCTGATTTTATCGGATAATAAGCTTTAACGAGCGATTTTTGGTTTACACCAAGTACTTTGTACAATAATCAGTGGTTATATGTAGGCTTACATAACTCTACAGGTTATCAATGAATACATGACCCGACACTAGACATAAATTCTCATGACAGAAGAGGAGGGAATAACTGTGATGAACAAAAAACATTGTTTAAAACAAAAAGAAGGAAGCACACAAACAAACAAGACTAACTAACCTTCCCATTTGGATGTAAGTAAGTTAAGACTGGGAATCGGCCACGACTGCGAAAACGTGAACTTCCATACAAAATATTCTTTGATACCATACTTGGAACATATAATACGGGTGGATAAGTATCACATATCTGTATTGATATATCGGAACGAAGATTGGAGAAATGATAACTTACAGAAATATTTTATGGATTACAGTTATAGTATAACTGCTAACTAACTAGATCACTATGTATATGTATTCCGTTTATCATAAGCTTTCGGTTACCCTATAAACTACTGTTATATGAGCTACTCCTCCTTATTTGTTGCCAATCTATTACTTACACCTACTTTTGGCTTGTTTATGTACCATTGTTGTTTTTCACTTTACGATGTGGTACTGCCCAGTGTGTTTGTATATAAGCCACTCCTGTTTGAAATATATAGAAGCTAGTTGCTGGCTTTTGGACTCAACGCAGGGCATAGAGAAAAGCTTGCGAATAACGGACTGACAGAAACAGCTGCTTCGGTTGGAGGCCAAGTCAGTGATGATGAACTGTAGAGGAAATGGCTACTGTCACCTTAAGTCTGCAGGGTGGTAAACATCATATAGAGAATCACTTAAACCAGTAGGTTGCAGAGTTTAAACACAGATCCACCTGAGTTTAAGGCACCTGAATAGTAGTACAGTAGTATTTTACATGTGACTCAAACACGTACAGAAAATTGTACCTGGTAAACAAGTAACACTTAAGATACCGATTATAGATTATGATAATTTTGTCGAACCCAAACAGGACAATCTAAGGTAGATCTTAAACATTTAAATGCTTAGAATAGTAGTCCATATTATATATTTTAGTACTAGGCAAAGGCGTTGTTGTGTTAAACAAAAGTTTAAGATTTGAAAATAAAATATTTATCAGCTTACGGGTTAGATAACAAATGTTGATCAATAGTCTAATCAAAAAACAATTGGAGTTTCTTTATTCGGTTGAATATTATATTCCTTTACTTCATTCAGCCTGATCCCAAGCATCATATGTATTTTGGTAACTTTACATTCAAGGCAAAGTAATAAGTTGACAGTTCAATCTGTTTTATAACAAGCTAATTATATTATGTGTAATCGTTTAAAACTATATACACAAAGATGGGATCTAAATTCATGAACTGAAAGTTGATGGTTAATTGACTCAATTATTATGCTGTAAATCAATAATAGTATTGTTTTCATTCCGACATCATCTCTCTCCACACAAACACACACGTGCACAATAGATGTGATTTTCTATTCACAAGGTAGTTGAGTGATTTTACTGAACAGAACGTATGAAATACTCGATTACAGAATCTATTCCAAATACTTTTCTGATTGATATAATGAGGAATAACTAAGCATGAGATTTATGCCCTGATTTCATTGACTCATGAATAACTTTGTATCCTACATCTGCAGTATAGAAAATTCGTAATCTCGTTTATTTTCGTTAGAATGATTTAAGATGATCAATGATTTTAATGCATGAGAGTTAATGACGCGGTACAATGTCACTAGCGAAATAGATTTGAGAATTGTATTAAATCAGTAACAACAAATAATAAGAATTTCCTATAGCTAAATTCACTTCACGTGACCAAATTTTACACTTTGTGGTTGACTTGTATTTTGTACGTTTTTCATGTATTTAGTATGACTCACAATCATCACTTATTGTTTCATCACAAGTTTGGTTACTAAGATAACTAAGAATAATAATTCTGATAATTGTAAAACAGCAATTTTAGTTGTGAATACAGTTTCATTTCCTATGTTAACCTTAAATTTTATACAACTAACCTCAAAATTTTTGTTAACATTAGTTAGACTCCAAAAATAATTAGGTAATCCAAATCGATCATACTGAGACCTAAGTGAAAATGTTGACCAGCCTTCTTCTCGAGACCAATAACAATCCGGCGGAACAAATTGATAACACGGGAGTGCAGACACATGTGCTACATAAAATCCATCCCAAGAAACGAAAGAGATAAAAATTATAAGAACTGAACAAGTTCATATTTATAAAACAGTGTACAAAGAATAAACAAACGGTCGCGAGAAATGAAGGTTTGGGATTGGATCTTGTACGTGGAGTCATCGTCAGTGAACCCAGTTGCCATAAATTCTCAAAACTAGAGTGAAACAGCCGTTTAACGAAAACCACTTATCACATATCTACTCCATTTACATTTTAATGCATACTCAGTTGCTGGGTACAGATTTGTGTACTTGGCTTCAAGTAACAGTCTAAATGTATAAAGGCTAGTGATGCTACTTAGTTGCGAAAAGCTGAAGTAGGTAGGCTAGCGTTTGAACGCGCAACTTAGCAGCAGTCAAATGTTCTAATAATTGAGCCACCATCCTAATTTCGAATATTTAACAGAAAACTACGTAGAACCACTTGGTTTAAATAGTTGCTTCTATAAAAATCTTTCGCATTATTGTCCCAGACACTGTAGAAGCTAAAGCGCAAAAAAATGAGTACAAAAAAATTTTCGTTGATAGTCACATACATTCCATAGAACGAATTAAACAAATCAATGTCTAAATGGTCTTCTCTTCTAAAGCATAAAGCTAGATTTCTTTGTGAACACATAAAAAAGACGTTAAGTAAACACTGTCTGTACATTCGACTCATTTCACAATGAACATTGATTTCGCATACATCCTAATGACCTGTGGGACCTCATTATGAAAACAATTCCTACGCAATAGAAAGTAATTGAGATTGTACAACTGTATCATTTAAGAAAACGAAAATCATGAGTTATATAATGAGAAATTAAGAAAAGACAATACCAAACTATACTGATAACTGACATCTTATTTTAGGTAGACTGACTAATGGAAATATCACAAGATGTGGGAACGTACATATTGTTATTAATCCTAGAAGTATTATTATTATTTCAACACAAACAAAGGTACGAGAAGGCACCAAATAGGTATGCGCCACATAAATCGTTCGATTTGTGTGAGGGCTGGAATACTGCACCGGTGCCCAGACAGAAGCAGGTGGCTTTCGCAGGGGACCACACCCAGAGTCTTTGACCTAAAGGTCTGACCAACAAGACAGTAGAGCAACGTAAGGAGATGCAGTACCATGGTAGCCGGTGACCAACGATTGGTTCATACGCCAAATTTTCCATCAGAAACCTGGAGCCCATGTTCACTGTTGGTTTGGAATCAGGTTTTGCCAATTCCTTTAGGTGAACCCTCTGTATTCATCGACCCGGTCAAAGTGCCGGGCATTCGCTTTTCGTCCTCTCAATCTCGTAATCAATACCTCTGCCGCAAGAAGGCGGGGAGTTGAACTTTGCAGGAAGTGGTTGTATGCACATTGCTGTGTGAGAGCATTTGTAGAGGGAGAGCTGACTCTCCCACTCTCGGTTGCACCAAGGCACTAGGGGCAACCCCAGGGGTATGCTATGTGCTTCCCCTAAACGATGTTTAGAACTGAATTTGACTGATCATTGTTGACATATGACTAGAGTCAGTTCAGAAATATCAACAATGAGGAAAATACAAACCTTTTCTAATAAAGAGCATATTTTCACAACTTAAACAGCGAACTGATCTTAGCTTAACCAGCATTGGAAATCTGATCTTAATCAACAAACCTTGCTGGATAGAGTAAAGTATAGTCAAACTAATGGTGAGAAATGTTCTAGTTTATGAGTATAGTACTTTGACTTAAGCCCGCAAATGCCCTGGTATGGCCGAGAGCAGGGAGGACCTACCCTCCGTCTCGAAATGCTCTCACACGACCACACACACACAGCCTATGCCAGGGAAGTCCTAATCACTGCTTTCTCACACCACGGGTGATGTTTACGAAATTGAGAGGAAGGAAAGCGAATGTCCGGCGCTTCAATCGGGCCGGTGGACACGGTGAGTCCACATAGGGGAGCTGGGAAACCCTGATTCCAAACCGACAGTGAACATGGGCTCCAGGTTTCTGATGGAACAATTGGTGTATGAACCGATTGTTGGTCACCGGCTACCATGGGAATGCATATCCTCACGATACTCCACTGCCTTATAGATAAAACATTTAGGTCAAAGGCTCGGGATGTGGCCCCCTGCATCGGTCTGGGCACTCGGACAGTATCACAGCCCTCACACAAATAAAATGAAATGACGATATTTACTGAAAATACCATTCGCGCCTCGATTTGCAGTCAAACAATTCACATTATTATCATTAATTTTTACTACATCACTTATTCGCTATTTTTTATTCCGGCTTTGGGTATCCTTATTTTTCAACTTGTACAGCAGCTCGCCTATGGTGGAAACTCGGTTCTATCTAAAAGTTCTCGAGTCACTGTCCGGTTGAAAACTGTATACTACCACCAAATACGAATACTAACACAGCTTTTCTGAAACCACGTGCACCATTCAAACTGGCTGCCTTCAACGTTCGCACACTAGTGCAGGTCGGACAACAAATAGGGCTGACTATGTCTTTAGAAAGTCTTAATATCGATGATTGCTGTCTATCCGAGACCCGTATTCAAGACTCTGGTGAAGTACTACAAATTCGCTCTCCATCTGTCGCTTCGAAAAGCTTGGTTTACGTGTGTTCATCCGGCGACCCTGTGGCATCTTCGTCTGGTCTTGCTGGCGTTGATGTCACACCAAGCGCTAGAGCTGAGGCAGCACTAATCGATTGGATCCCCATTAACAGTCGGTTATGTGCTGTTAGATTAGAGAGTTCCATCAAAGTGAGAAGAAATCGGCGTGAGAAACGATGTCTTTTCGTCATCTCCACAGATTATAGCCCGGATGCAATCAAGGATGAATTCTACCACCAGTTATCTGTCCTTCTCCAGAAAGTGCGTTCGGCAGATATTGTAGTACTAGCCGGAGACTTGAATGCTCAGGTCGGGCATCTAGGCACAGAAGAGAGTCGTTTTGGTGGCCGATGTGGACTTGTTGGCCGCAGGACAGATAACGGGGACCGTCTACTGCAACTGTGCATAGACCACAACATATTTCTGGCTAGCACTAACTTCCGGCACAGTCATCGCCGATGTGCCACCTAGCATCCTCCCTCTGCATCTCAAGCCTGGACTCGGATTGGTCACACCGCTGACGTGGTTGTGTACAAGACTGCCGCTACTTTCCGAGTAACTTTCTGGACAATGAACATGCCCTGGTCTGCGCTAATCTTACCTTACTTCTCAGTGGCCAACGAAGTGACCACCACCAACGGATTGATGTCAGCAAGTTGGTTGCAGCTTCTGTTGCAACTAAATATTAAATCGAGCTAGGTTCAAGGCTAGCTAACATCCCACTGAAAAGTGTAGATGAGCACTGATTACAATTGCACGACGCCATGAAAATGGCGAGTAAAGTCGCATGCGGTTTCGCCAAAGGTCTCGCTTATAAGCACTGAGTTTCTTCAGGCTCCTTACAACTCATTCAAGCCCGTCAGTCTACTCCGAGTGACCGTGAGTTTGACCACAAATGGCGGTGTGGATCTGTTGCCTGGAGAAAAACTTAATAACCTTCAGTATGCGAATGATATTGTCTTACTGTGCGATAATGCCCAAGCCATGCAATCTGCACTTAATCAGTTGGCAATCAGTGTCCGTAGGTATGGTATGTGCTTTGCACCTTCGAAGTGCAAAGTACTTCTGCAAGACTGGCAGGATTCCAATCCTGTACTCACCCTGGATGGTGAGCAGATAGACGTAGTCGAGAAGTTCGTGTATATAGGTAGCTGCATAAGTGCTGGTGGTGGCGTGAGTGGTGAGATCAATGCACGTATCGTGAAAGCCAGAGCGGCTTATGCCAATCTGGGCCATCTTTGGCTCCTTCGTGATGTTAGTCTGGCTGTAAAAGGTCGGATCTACAACGCGTCGGTGAGAGCAGTTTTGCTCTATGCTTGTGAAACCTGGTCTCTCCGAGTTGAGGATATTAGACGACTCTCTGTGTTTGATCATCGTTGTCTCCGAAGGATTGCTGACATTCAGTGGCAACACCATGTTAGTAATGCAGAGGTTCGGCATCGTGTGTTCTGGCACAGAGATGATAATGCAATTGGTGTCACCATCTTGAAACACCGACTTCGGTGGCTTGGACATGTTCTCCGAATGTCGTCCCAGAGAATTCCACGTCGTGCGTTATTTGCCGACGCTTGGACTGGTTGGAAAAAGCCGAGAGGTGGGCAGTGTATGACATGGTGTCGTGGTATGAAAGAAACCTGCAAAGGGATGGCTTATGTTGGTCCTTCACGACTCCCTGGCTGGGGTCTGAGAGATTGTGCGACACAGTGGCTAGAGACGTTATCAGATATGGCTCAGAATAGAAGCCAGTGGCGATCCTGCTGTAATCTTCTTTTACTTTCTTCATAAAACGTGGTTGTACCTTCCTTAACTGAAAGAATTCCTTCTGGTTGTACCTTTCCGTTCCCCACATTATTATTGTTATTATTATTATCATTATTACACAAATTGAAATCATGAGTCAGGTGAAGCTAGACCACCATTGATAACCTGGAAGCACTGTACGGCCTTTTCATCCTAGTATGGGACTCCTCAGCAGTGCGCATCCACGATCCCGCACCACGCGGGGCTCGAACCCAGGACCTACTGGCTTCGCGCGCGAGCACTTAACCACTAGACCACTGAGCCGGTATCCAACGGCTAAAATCTTCACAAAACCCATTCTGATTATTATTATTATTAGTTGGCTACCATACACTAATCTGTAGTCGTTATTGTTCCTTTTTTCTGATACGCACCTTACATTCTTTTTCTCGTCCCATTCTCATTGTTTTGTGTGGCGCATATACATCTGGTGCCCCCTTCTACCAATATTTGTGTTCAAATAAATAAATTAATAATTAATAATTCGACTTAAACACAAAACTGAATGTTGTGCCATCATGTACTAGGAAGTCAGCTTACAAGTTAAGTAGGAATTGTTTCAGTAAGTAAGCGGTTACGACAACCTAACATCCGAGATTATTAGGTTCTAAAAGGCACACGTACATATGTTTGGGTATATTGTTTGTAACATATATCTGCTTTGTATCTGAATTACAATTTAAACACTAACGAACTTTGATGAATAAATGAGCTAACCAGCATCTTGATTAGAACCACCTGGTCGACATATATTAATGAATGAGAAAAAATTAGAAATATCTCACGGATGTACATTTATTCTCTTATTGCTTAATTCATAATTTGTATATAAACTCGTGAGTACGCCCCGCGGGTGAACTCGAGGAAGCTCTAAGAAGTTCAGGAAGAGCCTACGATATTCTATCCAATCATCTTTTCGAAGAATGTTCCAGAATCTCTACGTGTAGCTTCCCTATCGGACAAATGCCAAAACCCCTGTATGCGGATTGGATGACCATAATGATGATTTTGTTTTTACTAAAAACCTGGGAGTTTTGTACCATATTTGACACTGTTTGGAATAGCATTCCTTTCACTTGTCTTCTGTCTTCTCATTTGAGACTTGGAGGGTTCTAGCGTTCAAGTCCTCAAGCTCTAGATATAACAAAACTATGTAGTAAGTACGGCGACGCATTGAAGAGAGCTGACTTAAGTATCAGAGGAGATATGCACCATTCAGATGAGTCACAACAAGAACGAAGAGTATGCCTAAAAGATAGTCGGTCAAATGGCATGAAGATTGGGATTTTCGCAGAACCAGGGCTATCAAAGCCGACTGAATTATCCAGTTTATTCATGAATGGTAACTAGAGCTATCTTAGTGAGTCTATTTAGTAAAATAACTAGAGCTTTCAATAAATAATTTATAAATATTTTAATTAGGATGTATCATTCAAGTTAACTCTAACAACATATTCCGTTACTTTAATTACTAAAAGATAACATCTGAGAAATGAACGATTTCACGTTCATGTTTTATTCTTGAGCATAACACTTACCAACACGAAGTAACCGTGTCAATGTTGAATAAACATCGTGACAATCTCGTTCTTTTAATACAACCAAACGAATTACACGGAAATCTTTTCCACGTATAATCAAAGGTGCACCACCAGTAGTTAACGGTAGACGTTCAACTGAAGAAATTAGTTGATTCGGTAACTATACGAAATGAACGCAAAAAGTATACGCTGATCAAAACAAAACAGTTAAATCAAGCCAGATCAACAACTGAGGCAGAATAATGTGAATTTATTCTGTTTCATGGTTTCTCGTCAGCTAGTCACAACCAAATATGGATTAAAGTGTGACAATGAGGTATGATATAATGTGAGGCAAAAGAGCTTGATGACGGAAAGGATTTGAGTTACAAAGATAATCAACAATATATATATATATATATATATGAGCGGACACATGTGAGGTTATTTCAATATGGAATTCAAAAACAATCCTTCCAAATTATCAGCCGACTCTTCTATGTGTCGAAGCAATAGCAATTTAGGGATCCAAACCTGATCTCTGCGTCCAGAAAGAGACAGTAATCAACCTATCATTTTGTTAAATTTACAGATTTGACTGAAATCACCTGCAATTATTATTTTTGCTTATTATTACTATTTTATTAGTGTCTCTTTTGCAATGCAGTGTTCGTCAAACTAGTTTTTATGTATGCCAAAATCATCCTTTTATTTGTCGGGGTTTTTTTCATTTACATAACAGTCTAAACTCTTCGGATCTTACGTAATTATTATGCAACTCTTCAATTTTAGTTCTCAACAATCATCATTACATTGTTCTAAATCTTCTATAACCATTTTCAAGTGATTACAATTTTACGTAATCTTCACAACTATAATTATCACACGACCCATCCTTTTCTGTCTCCAGACTTCATTTAATTATTTCCTCATATATATATATATATATATAATCTTAGTCATTTTAATTTTTTCATCAATAACAATTGTTTCACATTGTCATACTTTAATATTACTTTATTTATTTATTTATTTGAGCACATAAATATTGGTACAAGAGAGCGCCAATATATATGCGCCACACAAAACAATGAAAATTCGAAGAGAGAAAAGAAAAAAAAACTAAGGAGCACAAAAGAAAAATAGAACGATAACAAAGAGATTGGTGAAAGGTCGTGCGGTCGTAACGATGGGACGGAAAGGTACAATCAGAAGAAATCTTTCAAGTAAGGGAGACACAACCACTTTTTATGAAGAAAGTAAAAGAAGGTTACAGCAGGATCGCCACTGGCTTCTATTCTGAGCCATATCTGATAACGTCTCTAGCCACTGTGTAGCACCATCTCTCAGACCCCAACCAGGGAGTCGTGAAGGACCAACATAAGCCATCCCTTTGCAGGTTTCTTTCATAACACGACACCATGTCATACACTGCCCACCTCTCGGCTTTTTCCAACCAGTCCCAGAGTCGGCAAACAATGCACGACGTGGAATTCTCTGGGACGACATTCGGAGAACATGTCCAAGCCACCGAAGTCGGTGTTTCAAGATGGTGACACCAATTGAATTATCGTCTCTGTGCCCAAACACACGATGCCGAACCTCTGCATTACTAACATGGTGTTGCCACTGAATGTCAGCAATCCTTCGGAGACAACGATGATCAAACACAGAGAGTCGTCTAATATCCTCAACTCGGAGAGACCAGGTTTCACAAGCATAGAGCAAATCTGCTCTCACCGACGCGTTGTAGATCCGACCTTTTACAGCCAGACTAACATCACGAAGGCGCCAAAGGTGGCCCAGATTGGCATAAGCCGCTCTGGCTTTCACGATACGTGCATTGATCTCACCACTCACGCCACCACCAGCACTTATGCAGCCACCTAGATACACGAACTTCTCGACTACTTCTACCTGCTCACCATCCAGGGTGAGTACAGCATTGGAATCCTGCCAGTCTTGCAGAAGTACTTTGCACTTCGAAGGTGCAAAGCACATACCATACCTACGGACACTGATTGCCAACTGATTAAGTGCAGATTGCATGGCTTGGGCATTATCGCACAATAAGACAATATCGTCTGCATACTCAAGGTCGAGAAGTCTTTCTCCAGGCAACATATCCACACCACCATTACTTACATTCATCAGAGCTGTTTCCAGAATGTCATCGATGGCAAAGTTGAAGAGGAATGGTGAGATTGGGCAACCCTACCTAACCTCACTGCTCGAATGGAACAATGAAGAGAGGTAGTTGTATGCACTCACTCTGCCTGGGGTGTTTTTATATAGGGCTTTTAGGATGTTAATAAACTTCTCAGACACACCGTTCTTCAATAGACAATCCCAGAGAACAGTCCTGTCCAACGAATCGAAGGCAACAATGATGTCAAGAAACACTACGATTGTTGGCCTTTGATAAGTATGGCAGTGTTCTAACATTTGGCGGAGGGTGAAGATATGATCAATACATCCTCGACCAGAACGAAACCCAGCCTGCTCCTCGCGAGTCAATCTTTCTCGGGTTTTGAACAACCTACGAAGTATGACGGAAGCCAATAGCTTGGACGCAATCGGAAGTAGACTTATCCCCCGATAGTTGTTACAGGAACAACGTGAACCCTTTTTAAAGATAGGGACAACTATCGACTCGTTCCATGACGTTGGTACACTCTCTAGTTCCCAAACTTTTGTAAACAACGTCGTCAATTCCTTAGTCAAAAAGTCACCACCATCTTTAAAAAGAGCCGGAGGTAAGTCATCTGAGCCAGGTGATTTGTAACGCTTCAAGAGTTGGAGTTCCTTGCGGACTTCCTCCTCGTTTGGTGGATCAGTCGTCACCGGCCATGGAGGGCAGGACAGTCTGACCGATGTTGCCGGAGCAGCAGGCCAGTTGAACTGCCCTTCGAAAAATTCTGCCCATCGTCCAAGACGTCGATGGATGTTAGTGATTGGCATCCCATCATCCTCGCAGATTGTTTCACTCACACCAGACTTCTTGCTGCCAGTGGCTCGGATGAGCTGGAAGAGCTTCCGGTAGTTACCAGATGCAGCTGCTTCTTCCAGCTCATCAGCACGCTCCGACCACCAGGCTTCTCGGTCCTTACGCAAGCTTTGCCCAAATTCCTTACGTAACATCCTTCGTTTATGGTCAAACTCACGGTCACCCGGAGTCGACCGACGGGCTTCAATAAGTTGTAAGGAACCAGAAGAAACCCAGTGCTTATAAGCGGGACGTTTCGCAAACCCACAACTGACTGTTCCCGCCATTTTCATGGCGTCATGCAATTGCAACCAATGCTCATCTATACATTTCGGTGGAGTGGTAGCTAGCCTAGAAGCTAGCTCGGTTCGATACTTACTTGCAACAGAAGTTGCAACTAGCTTGCTAACATCAATCTGTTGGTGGCGGTCACTTCGTTGTCCACTGAAAAGTAAGGCAAGATTGGCGCAGACCAAGGCATGGTCAGAGTCCAGATAGGTACTCCAAAAGGAGCGGCAGTCTTTTACACAATCACGTCAGCGGTAGCTGATCGCGATGTGATCAATCTGAGTCCAGGCTTGGGATGCAGAGGGAGGACGCCAGGTGGCACATCGGCGATGACTGTGCCGAAAGTTAGTGCTAGCCAGAAACAGGTTTTGTTCTGTGCAAAGTTGCAGTAGACGGTCCCCGTTATCTGACCTGCGACCAACAAGTCCCCATCGGCCACCTAAACGACTCTCTTATGTGCCTAGACGCCCGACCCGAGCATTCAAGTCCCCGGCTAGTACTACAATATCTGTCGAGCGCACTTTCTGGAGAAGAACAGATAACTGGTGGTAAAACTCATCCTTGATTGCATCCGGGCTGCAATCTGTCGGGGCATAGGCGGAGATGACGAAAAGACATCGTTTCTCACGCCGATTTCTTCTCACTTTGATGGAACCTTCTAATCTAACAGCACATAACCGACTGTTAATGGGGATCCAATCGACTAGTGCTGCCTCAGCTCTAGCGCTTAGTGCGACACCAACGCCAGCAAGACCAGACGAAGATGCACTTCAATACATATATAGTCGTAAGCAGCAGATGAGAAACCACGAAATATGAGTCCATACTGGACATTTTTGGACATTTACGCCTGTTACTCCTCGTGAAGGAGCATAGGCCGCTCACCAGCATTCTCCATCCAACCCTGTCCTGGGCAATCCTTTCCAGCTCCGTCCAGTTGTAATTCATCATTTTCATATCTGCTTCTATTATCCGACGCAATGTGTTCTATGGCCTTCCTCTTTTTCGCTTCCCTTCAGGATTCCAAGTTAGGGCTTGCCTCGTGAGTCCATACTATTCTGACTTAATTGTTCTGCTGGCTTTATTCAAATTCGTAATAGGAACCAATAGCATGGAAACGGTTAAACATGTTGTCCGAAGATACACTTCTATCAAGAATTGCTATTGAACGACATCATCAGCATAAACTTCAGAAGAACGATGAAAGCTCCACGACCGAACCATCCAGCTCAGTGAACAAAACTCCACCAAAATCCTCAAGATCCTACCATGCCAGACAGACCGGTAGAAGAACGATAAGATTGAAAGCAGAAAACCTAAAGTCCGGGGGCGAAGTCATACTGCTAACTTTACAGGGGTGTGGCGGTAGTAAAATATTTCCTTCAGACAACCAGCATAACAGCGATGCTGCCTTCCTACAAAGGAAAGGGTCGACCTTAAAAATGCACACTTCGCTTTATACCACGGATATTCGTCTCCAGGGATAAGGTTCTAACAAGTACAGGGCTAACACGAAAATTACTCACAAAAATGTCATGTGTGACTGGCCCCAATCAGTTGTCCCTTGGGCATTGCGATAACACTTTCAGGTCACTAAGACCACCTCTAATCCAATTTCCTTTTCAGGTACCTCTAGAAGAACCCTTCTATGGTGTGCGCAACTGGGAAGTGATAGCCACCCTCATACCTCTAACAGAACTCAAGACCACTATATTCATAATCAGTTCCCCTCTTCCATTCCTATTCTTCCTCCTACTTCGACTAACAACTCCAAATTTCCTCTTTTGACTTCTTCCTCAAGTATCACAATGGCCAACGATGCTAGTGCGCGAAATATTGTCCCAAGTCTGCTGCCTATGTCAAATCGACCAGCAGGAACATTGGCCAAGACACTAAAATCTCATACG